CTACTACTACTACTACTACTACTACTACTACTACTACTGCTACTGATATCCCATCCAATCCAAGCCAATCCAATCCTACACCCTTAGATTGCCCTAACTCAACTCGTGCCTGACCTGGTAATTCTTGCTCGATGACCTCGTTACCCCGGCTGGGGTCGCGCAGTTACCATGTTACCAATCATGCCTTGCTTTAGTCCATGTTGTTGTAAAGTGTTAGACGAGGCAAAAAAAATTAGTTTAATCAACTGTGGGTTCAACCAGCTTCGCAGCTTCACTTCAAGAATAGCATGTCCAATCAGAGTCAAGTAGCATGTGAATCAATTTCTGGACGTCGAACATCCCCCAAATCATCCAAAATCATCCAGGTCCGAATCGCTTTTGCCCCACCAGTTCCATCCAGTTCCCCTCACTCTTCCCTGAGCACCCCGGCCGCCAAATGCCAAGCCTCGGAATCGTAGCCTGCGACGGTGGGGCTCTGGCGGGGCTATCAAAACCGCCCCAGGGAGGTGAAACTGCAACTATGGATATGCTGGCTATGAGTTAGCATGGTTTAGGGATGTTTAGGGAAAGGGATCAAAGGTCAAGCACCATCTCTCTTCGCTTCAAGTCTAGGTTGTACATATCGATGCGCCATGTTGCCGTTCAATCTGTGATTGAAGTGTGACACGGCGTGGCCACAAAACCAGATCCACGCTTCAGCCTATCTCGTGGGCGGAGCAGTCGAGTTGAACTGAGTCGAAGACGCTTCGATCATAGATCCCAAATCTAGTGAACCGCTAGAGCAAGGTCCTCACGATGGTGTTCCTCACTCCTCGTGTCGACGCGAGCTTTTGCAGAACAACTCCATGAGAACCCGAAAAGACCCTGAAAAGAATGTGTTCTCGGGGGCTTCAGGTGTTTTTGCTGGGCAGTTGATCGGTGTTGAGCCGTGCCGCTGCTCGATTCTCAAAACATCGATTATTCTTAGTCTAGTAGGTCTTACACTCATGAACCCTGCAGATTGACCGCCAAACCGCCCAAAACCACGTCGGGTTGGTCTTCGGTTGACCTGGTCGAAACCACGGGGTGAATTCTCAAGGTCCATTGTTACGGAGCCGGCCATGACCCGGCTAACATACGGATAGAATAGGTATTATACACGACCTCTGGAGGGGGGCAACCCCTGGGCCCGGCCTCCACTTCCATTTGAATGGCGTAACAGAAGTGGATAGCATGGCCCGAAAGGATGACAGTCCGAAGACCAACCAGGTGGAGAGCTCCACTTCCATGTGAGTGACGAGTGTAGTAAGCAAAGTCAGAAGAGTCAAGTATCTTGTGGATTGGGAGAACTGTTGCAAATCTCCATGCGAAATTTGTGGAAAGCTTTGGATGGTCTCAAGTGCCAAGCAAACCTTGGACGCCACGCCAGTTGCGGCGTGTTTTTGGTATTTCACCTGCCAACCTGTTGCTTTGGGCCAGCTCGGCCCGAGGCGGCGCGCCTTCGCCACAACTGGGACAGCTGGCGCGGGTAAAGCCTGGGACAGCTCCACCGAAACCCGCTACGGCCGGACGGTGAGCGGAGCCGAGCGGAAACCGGCTCCGGGGTGTTCGACACCCAGATGGTTTTTGATGGAACGCGAAGATGCAGACTGTATGGAGATGTAAAAACCCATTCTGGTGAGGTGATTGAGCAGCAGTCCACCAGCACCTTGGAAATGGTCTCCAATGGAATACGCTACATCACCCTACACTATATATGTGGATCTCCATTGGACGGGTGGACGTTGGAGTCCTAACTGAAGTCCAAATCTGAAGCCCATTCGGCACAGCTTGGGGGGATCGTCACACTTGGAATTCCACAGCCAACTCCACTGGAACTTGCTCGCCTGAGGATGCCCACGCGGAGCCTGCACCCAAGACCTGGCTAAGCTTTTATTCGGCAGTCCATCCGCTCGGGCCCAATGAGTGTGGCAATCTAATTGTCCACTCACTTTCCAGGGCTGAAACTGGAGGGCTCAAACCAGCTTTCCCATGTCCACATCCAAAGTCTTGCTCTACTTCTCTCACTCATGTTTTTTCACCTCTCCGCTGCCTGGTCCAGTACTTTCACTGCGAAGGCCTTGGCTGTCTCCTGCGCAAACGCTAGGATCAGGCAAAGGTGTTTCCTACCGGAAGAATTCTGACCGAACTGCACAGGTGCGAGTATGAGCACCAGTCAGCCCAAATCTTTGCTCAAAGGGTCCTGCCCAGCTCCTTGCCAGGTCCTTCACATGCATCATATCACTTAATTTCAGACTGCAGGTCTAATATATTATATACCTAGAACCCATTTGACCTCTGTCTTGATAGGAAAATACAATCTTTTGGGTAGTTTGTGATGTTTGTGGTCTGGGACCGGACCCACTGACCTCTTCGTGATTTGACTCACCCAGCTCGCCCGTCTCCTCATCCGTCCCGTCGGCTCCCGCCATGGCCCCTCGCATCGCGCCCTGCGTGGGGCGCTGAGAAGCGAACCCACCGCGGTGCTTCTGGGTGACCCGGGTCAAGTCCCCTCTTTGGTCACGCCTAAGTCTTCGACCTCTCTTGAAAGACTCACATGGTTGAAAGGCCCACATGTGTTGTGTTGCCAATTAAGTCAGCGCAGTGCAGCATTTCACAAGCACATTGGTGGCCAATGATTACGTTGCCATCGGTTGCCCTGTAACTTGTGCATCTTGTAATCTTCCACCCACATCAAAAGGGTCCACGCGCACCATCCCCCCGACACGTGCCCCAGGCGGCTCTTTTGTTCGTCCGCGCGTTAACCGATGAGGATGTTCCGTTCGGGGAAGGGAACACTCCGAATACATGTACATGTACGACATGTCTCTGTTTCCGGGGATGAAGTATACTATAGGTCAAGAAATGATGAAGTCTCTTTCCCTCACACAGCCTGTCTTCAGTGAGTTTGTGGGAGGTTGTTGTAGAATGGGTTGTAGTGTGAAATGATCTTAGTCCCAAAAAGCAAAGCTTTCCGGAGGCATCATAATGCAAGTTCTTCGAAATGATATCAAAGAACATGCTCCTGTCAAATCAAACCCACTCAAAAAGGATAGGTCTGACCACTATGGACTCGAGAGCCCCAAAAGAGAGTCAGTTAAGACTATCCCATGGGGTGTTCATCTCTTTCTGTAGCTGCAGCTGTAGCTTCGAAATCCATTGCAACTCCCCTTTCACTCTGTGAATCCTTCTCCAACCAACCGAGGGCCACCACAAAGTGGATAGGTCCAGATCAACTGGCTGCCATCGAGCATTCACAGGCAAGACCGGTGCAGCTTGGGCTTCACTATTATGGCTCAAAAGGAAGGGTACAACGATCCCTTTTTGGCTGGTTTTGCTGTTTCAGCAGCCTTCCAGTCTCGCTTCGTCTCGCCCAGCTCCCCAGACTCGCACTAAGAACAGGCAACGGCTCAAAACACATCTCCTCCCACAGGGCACAAGTTCTATTCTAAATTCAAAAAAGACATAAACTCCATCTTCCTCGGTGCACAACAAATCTCCAGGACTTGAGCACCCTCCAACGAGACAACTCTAACCTTACATGTCAACATGTCACCAATCTGGAGTTCAATCGAGTCTGAAGATCGGGTCGAGATGATCACGCAGTGCTGCAAACTGTCTCAACTGGTCCCCCGCAGTTTCCAGGGGTTCCAGGATTGTACGTGGCACATGGCGAGCTGGCTGGCCCCCCCCCCCCCCACAACTCTCCACTCCCCGCGCGCGGTATTCTTTCCATTATGTCTACCCGGCCCATCACGCTTTGCTTCGGGAGTTCTTTTGCAAACCCCCAACCCCGGGGTCAGGATCTGGATGGGGGAAACTGCTCACTAAATCTCCAGCAGCATTCTGCGTGGGTCCTGCTTGTTGCAGCACCGAAAGGTCAACGGAGTTCTCACCCCAACAGGTGACAAACATTATCAAACATTAAAGGAAGAAAGCGCGAGCAGACCGGTGTATACTGTATCTGCTGCGTTTGCTGTAAGTGTCAGGCCCCGCGGAATTGCAGCATGAAAATCAGGTGGTGGTATATAACCTATATAGTTCCACAAAGTCATCAAGTACAAACCAGACCACCAATATAGGACCTGCGGACAAGCGCCATGAAGGGAAGGGAATGGCAAGCTTCCAGTTCACAAGTAACTTCACATGTGCGGGGCTTGCGTATTCACGCGTACACCGACAGATTTAGTTGCTGCCTATCCATCAGGAGGACAACACTGGGATGAGCCTGGCGATACACCAGTGATACAACCGCCTTAATTCGCTGAATTTCATAGCCCAAGGAGTTCGCATGTGTTTCGCTGGTGTCTCCCAAAGGTTCCTCCGAAGTTCATTGCTCCACTGGGAAGATCTTCCACATCAGGCCCCCATGAAAACCCGGAGAAGCCCCGCCAGAAGGTGGTCTCCACATCGAACTGCGGGTCGTCCTCGACTTGATCTCGAACCATACAGAGGAAGGTGACGGCCTGGCGGGTGCAGTCGCCAGACCATGTCATTCAGTCGGACATCCCAGAGACCTCTCCCGAAACACATCCCTGGACCCTGTGAACAAGTCGAATCATCCAGTTGGAGAGAATAGACTCAAGAGCAAAAATGCTCAGTTTAAGGCTGGATCAGCGGCCGAATGTATGTCTGTCTTGTTGCTCGCAACATGTCTGAGTCTGGATGCCTCCATGCTTCGTTGAAACACACTTTTGATCACTTTTGTACTATCAACATGCTTCCTTACGCCAGAAACACTGAACCCGGCAAGCACTGCAAACAGTCATAGTCACCTTGATCCTTCACATGGGATGGAAAAAGGATGGAAAAGGGAAAGGTTGTGAGGATTTGAAGCCTATCAGCCTATCAGCATGTTCGAAACCCTGGCAGCTCTGGCGTGCCCACCTCGCGCCCATCCACCAGCCGGTGGTCATAGGTCAAGGCTAAGTACATCATCGGGCCTTTCGCTTCGCAGCGATGGCATGGATCTTACTGGCCGTGTGGCTCCGCGAGGAGTCCAGCGGGGTGTGGCTCCGATGGTGTCAGACACTTCGGCCCGGGTGGGACGTAAGGGCGAAGATTCTGTTCAGCTTTAACATGATTGGGAGTGGCACCCGATATTTCAGTGGCCAAACATGGTCCCAAGCGATTTGGAGGTGTTGGTACAGTCCAAAGATTGCAAACTCATGGAATGCAAAAATCGTGCAATGCACATCCAAGATAAGTACCGTTGAGATTTAGTAGCTATATTGAATACACTCCTGTGTCAATATTGAATCAGTCACAATCAGTGTATGTTTAGAATTGTATTATTGTTTAGTTGGCTGGTTGACGCAGTTGCACACCGGCTCGCAATTGCGGGCTCTCAAAAGAGGAAATACAGAATCATCCACATGATACATCCATCTAATCATTTTAAGGTCGAGGCAGCAGTTGGGTCCTTCGTCTACCCCAAAAAAATGGCTCCCCATAAAAAGACAACGAGGACACCTGGTGACCACTTGACTGAGTCTGGGTTAAGAACACTGATCAACTCCGAAAGGGCAACACCGGGCATGGAAAAAAATGCGTTGAATGTAGACTCTTGATTAACAAACCCTCCTATATATGAAATGTTTTTTCAATCCAAAATGGAGCAACTACCTGTTTGATGCCGTGCAACTACCTGTTCGTCGAAATTCGTGTACATTAGCTCACTGTTTCTTGAGTCAGTGTCACTGGGGTACACCCACCCATAACCGCCGGAATACCCGGCAAGGGGGGGGCGCGCACGTTGACGGTCCTCAAGTTCGCGCATCTAAAATGGCGAGGGTTATGAATCAAGAATCATCCAGAATCTACATCAATCCATGTCCAGTTTGAAACCGCCTAGGTGCTTGCACACGCGATGCCTATAGGCAATGGAATTTCTTCCCGCGCACCCTTCGATGAGGTCCCGCCGCCCGAACGGGCAGACGGGGGGGGCAGACGGGGAGACGTCGGGAACGTGGTGTGGCCCAAATCTGGTTCGGACAAACGTGGAAGAATGATGAAGAATGCCAAGACTGGAGTTCATCTTCGATAAATATATAGAATTACCCTCTCAGAATTACCCTGGGGGAACTCCAAGAGTTGTCACTGAGTTGTCCCAAAACTCGAGTTGTCACTGGTGAAAGGTGCCACCGTCGCCGAGTTGTCCCGGTCCGAGCGACGGATGCCAATCTCCCCATTGGGCAGCACCACTGGCCGATCCTGAGAGGAACAGATGTGTGGTTTTCATCCCCTAGCGCTCCAACCACCTCCTGAGAAGGTGCTTGGGGTGGGTGCCAGGGGGTCCAACCACCTTCTGAGGATATGGTTGGAGCCCTAGGGATCATGTCATCATACCCCAGACACGACCTGTCATAGGACTGCCGAGAAACGGCCGGGGGTGCCAGGGGGGTCGCCAGTCCCATGGAGTGCCTGGGTATGTGTTTCCTTCTGAGTTTCTGCTTTCATGGGATTCCTCACCATCTCAGTGTGAAGCCATCTACATGACACACGACACACACACCGGACCATTCGCGAAGCGGGGCCATGGCGTCAGCGTGGCGTCATCGTGGCGGTGTCGGATCCCCAAGTCATCGTTCGAAATGCAAAACACATCGATGAAAACCGTTCAACGTCAGATGTCACAACGTTCGACGGGGTGCCTGCCTATTGGAGGTGATCGGGGTGCCCCGTACGTCACGTCCACTCAATGTGACTCCTGGAACTCAGATGTCTCCGGTGTTTTCAACGCACCGTCGCACCATGCTGCGTTGATCCCGCAAGTCTGGGTGGCCCGCCCTGCTTAGTACCCGACTCCCCCAGAATTAGGATCATTGAGTGTAGAAAACCATCCTCATCCCCCATTGCTTGGGAGTACGAGAGGATCAGTACCATATATACGAAGATCAATTGAGCACGGTGTACGAGCCGAACGAGCCCGTGGTTTACACGGCTCGTTTGAAGGGCCTCGGCCTCGGGCAGATGGAGGCCACGCATTGCTGATCCCAACAGGTGATGCTCCAAGGGAAACCGTTTCCTATCGTAGGTCACCCCCGAAGGTCGAATCCTTGAAGTGAAAAAACATATCCTATATATTATGCGGTGATTGGGGCAGCGAGTCGACGAACGAGCTCCACACTCCATCTATAGGTGATCTACAGCATAATCAGCATAATACGGCCCAAAAGCACACCCACGAAATGGAGGGCCTGGGGCCTGTGTCTCCCTGGATCCATGCACAACCACTGTAGAGTTGTGATGTCTCGCGCGGCAAACAGATGTCTTCAGCCACCCCTCTTCGCCGAAGGAAGTTCGGGGGGTCGCCGGGGCCGTCGTGGGCGAGGCCGCACCTTGGTCGCATGAAGCCCCAAGGCAGCTGCACTGCTGGTGGAGCCAATCAGCCTTGGTGAACGAAGCGGAGTTTCTTTGGAGGACTCAAGGACTGAAGGACAATAAGGAG